ATAAATATCGGTTGTCTATAGGTACTAGTTACCTGAGCCCAAGATCACTGGATTCAATGCTGATTCCAACTGATGTCCATAAATGTTGGGCCAGACCCCAGGCCACCACGCTGCGCCAGCCAAAACTAGACTGCAATTTAGGCATTCAAGGCTGGTCCCAATGATCTCAATGCCATCGAAGATTTCCAAAGACACCAAGGGGAGGAAGCAGTATTCAGGCTCTTGTATGCAAATGGCCATCATCGATGATGCACAGCTGATCCATCTTGAAGGCTTGAGCCTTTGAGCAGGGGCATGAGATTACTGTGATGTTTTAATTACCCCCATCCCTAAACGATCTTTATTGGGAACTAAAAACATCCTGCATTTCACAGGGAAATCTAGCCCAGCTTTCACAGGTCCCACCATGGTGTCATGGAGACCGCAGGGCAAGAACAGGCAGAGGGTCACAGGCACTGTGTAGACGAAGGGCAGCTAAACCACAGGTTTCCAGGGACATCTCTAGTTCCCCTTGGCAAGCAGTTCACCCCATGAGATGGGGGCAAGTATAAATCTGCCAACATAGTCTAATTTTAATATGTTGAGCAGTGGCTGCCCAACCATCAACATACAATGCTGGAGAGGATCATCTCTGCTCATAGCTCTACCATCTCAACCTTTGCAAGACGACTGCTCCTGCCTCTCCTGTCACAGGGACTGGATTTTGACCTTGCTCAGGCAAGAGTCCCTTGGTCTTTCAAGGGACATCTTCCTGCATCACAACTGTCAGATTGTGCCCATAGGGCCAATATGTAAAAGCAGTATTTATTTTTAAATACCTTCCTGCTTTACATGAGATTTCAGTTCCAAACAACATGCATCAACTTTTTAAAAAAATCCACACACAAACAATATTTATCATCCAAATATCCTTTAAAAGCTCAAAGGCTGACATATTAAAGCCAATAAGTCAATTTAAAAAATATATATATTTCTAAACCGTTTATAAGAAATATACGCTGCTGGTCCATTGATACGGAGAAAAAGCCTGTACCTGAAATTAATTAAAAGAATCATATTCAAAAAGATATGCTTGTCCGCTGAAAGGCAATATATTGCACCTCTCTACATAACTGCTGACTCCATGGTCATGGATGTATTGTATTACAGATACAACAAATCAGGGGTTTTGAAAGGAGTTTTTTTGGTTGGGTTTTGGTTGTTGTTGTTTGGTTTTGTTTTTTACAAGTATGGAGAAATTCCATTCACTCCTGAGTTAACACAGTATGCAATAAAATGCCTACATTTTCTCAGTCTCAAATGAGATTTAGTGATGTCATTCACTTCACTTCCAAAGGACATGCGTTTGAAGCGTGAAGGTGGAATGGAGGGAACCAGGTGTAGCTACACATGTATATGTGTATATGTATGTATATAAATATATACATACACATAAGGAATTGTGGGAGGAGGAGAGCAAGACATACACAATAGCCTGGGAGCAGAAAGGCTGGGTACAGGCAAGCGGATCCTAAGCACAGGTGGGGGGAAACGTGACACTCCCACAACCTCTGCTCTCCCTAAAAGCTGTGATGGGAGATTCATCCTCGAAAGCATGTTTTGAGGCAGAAGTAGACGATTGAGAGAGCACTGCCATTCACTGAAGATCTTCACACTATGAAAGATGTATCAGATAAACTGATAACTGAATTTGTGTGTCTGGTGAGGGCAGAAATCAGAACAAAGTGTATTTTATTATTGCCAAGCGTAGCTTACTGAGCTCTCCAGAAATCAATTCTGCTGTGTGGTCAGTAGCTGCACTATTCTGTCGTATTGGGATGGAAATGCCCAGCTGAAACAAACTGGTAACTGCTCTTCAAAAACTGGTGGGCAGCTTGAACCTTCCCAGTCTTCAGATGAAGACACGAAAATTGACATCAGATTTCTCAACATTAATAGGAATAAAATCAAATCCTGGACAACTTTGAGGAGTTTTGTATGAAAAAAAAGAGTAATTTCCCTATGTTCTCCCAGAAATAGTGACAGAGTACATCATGTTTTATAAGTCTTCGCAAAATGAATCATCCACTTTCTTGGGACAACATCAGAACTCACCACACGTAACCAGAATGAAACAACTCCTTTAGTAATGCGTTAAGACGCATAACTTGTCTGTGACCTGATTTTAAGGGCTTTTTTTTCCTATCTGTGGAAACATGAGCAGTCTTAACATTTCTGTTTCTTTCTCACTACCATCAATTCTCCGTAATGGCAACGTTGCAAGCAAGTGCTCCCCTCCTCTTTCAAGAACAAAACCATCACAGCATCTGCTTCTCATAACCACATTTGTGCGTGTGTGTAAGTGTGCGTGTATGAGAGAGAGAGGGAGAAGTAAATCTGCCGAATTTAACTTAAAAGTTTGTTACAGGGAAGGATTTTTTCTTTCCCACCCTTCAAAGTGTAGAACGTAGAAGTAGGGCTACTGCTATGCACTTGTGCCTTTACTTTCAACACACTTGTTAGTACAGGGGACGATTAGTGACTGAGGGAAAAAAAATTAATTTATTTGACTTTCAAAGTCGATTGACCGGTGCATGAATGGCTATAGACGATAGCAGGTTTTTATTTGCACTTGTCTCCCAGAGGCTGCAGAGCAACAGAAGTTCCTTCAGCACACACAGGTTCTGGGCACGTTACAGTAGTCCTTGAGGTGGAAGAAAGAAGCAATAGCTTCACCACATATTCATCCCCACTACCCATCAACTCAATAAAACAATCCAGAAAGGGATTCCAGTGCAAACCATGGGCCTGTTTTTTCCTGTCCCATTCTGCTTTGACATCTGTAGGGAACAGGAGGAGGTCCCTCATCATCTGAACTTGCAAAGAGGAAGGCAATGAGCTGACTGCTCTTGCTAGACTTTAAACTATTTCAGGAAATCAAAACCACTACACCTTAAAAAGAAATGTTGCCTTCTCTTTTGCTCCCCCTGCCACTCAAACTCTCCCTGAAGTTCAAAGAAGATAGGATACACTGCCTCTTTGCCTTCCAGCTTTGCCAAGTCCAGAATAAATTAAAAAAAAAAGCAAAACAAAAAAGCTTGGATTTTTTTCCTCCCAGTATTTCTAATATTGTCAGCATTCCTAAGTCAGAACTCTCATTCTTGAGATATTTCCTTAGCTATACTATCCTGATAAGAAAGTGATCCATGGCAGCTATTACTATGTTCTCTCCCATACAGTTTTCCCATTGCATTACGAATTAATTGACAAATTGAGGAGCTAGCTCCACCAGAGCAGCAATAATATATAGAACTGTCATGACGGTGAAATTTATTAAGAGAAAGAAATGCTGATGGACTATAAATGCAAGGAAAAGAACCCCACCACATTTAATTCAGCATCCCAATGCAGAAACTACAACCCTACTATTTTAAAGTAATATTTAAGCATAGTCCATTCAGCACTTTTACGCTGTCTCAAACTTCAAATCGGCAAGGTACACGCTTAAGCATCTTGCCAAATTGTGACATAATTCTAAAGCCTCCAGTGCCAGCATGTCAAGCCCTCTCACATGGCAAGGGAGAATGCTCAACACCTCATAGGATCAAGTTCAAAAAGCCTGGAGAGAAGCAGCAGTGCAGGGAGGGAGGTCTGAACCTCAGAGAGGCATGCATATCCCAACACTCCCCCTCCCCTTTCACACGCTGATCCATGTGGTCTCCACCTGACAAACCTACATTTACAATGCTCGTTGCCTTAAAATTAAACTGTTTCTTATCTCAGCCATGTGTTTGTGTCTTGCTTTCCATTTAGCTGGTTTGTCTTTCAGACAGGGATGCCTGAAAAGAGTGGTAACAGAAATACAACAGGTTAGAAGAGCCTCGGGAAATATTACAGAGGGATACTGGGTGCACAGAGCAGAAAGACAACTTCTCCAAGCAATACCTAGGATCTGGCAACCCAGGCCCTGATCCTGCATCAGCCCCACCTAAGCACATGCTGACACTCACACTGGAGTCACTAGGGTGGGGCATGGGGGCTGACCCAGCTCCAGCCCATCGCAGGATTGGGGCTGTGAAGGGTAATCTTGCAGCCCTTATTGAAGATTGGACTGTGCTCACCTTGGCTTCAACTAAAGTCCTTATTATACAAGTCAGACCCAAGGCCCGGGCCAGAAATGGGGTTTCCCAAACACCTGGCAGAGCGCTGTGGCTAGACATGGCCACATCATTTCCAAGTTCAGACTCCCACCCAAACAGCAGCCAAGCTTGAATTTGTGTACACTGAGCATACGCAACTTCATATGAAATTCAAGAGCTGCGATCGGGGTCTTCATAAGACCCACAGCAAATCTTAGGTTAGACAAACAGATTTTGAAGTCAACAGGAGTTGAAAATTTCAGCGCTCAGCAGACAGATCAGGCCAGTTGAATACATTCTGTTTCCACAAGTCACACAGTTTTATAAAACTGACATTTCTTTCCTGACTATTGATGTTCTCTGTTACCACCCTGGAAATGGCTTAGCTGAAAGTCCTGCCTCAAAAGTTAAAAAAAAAAGAGTATATTGATTTTTATGAGCACTATGAGGGTCTGACTGAAACATAACCCATAGGGGACTGTGTTCAATGGCTTATGGATGAGGCCCAAAGTCATGTCTGATTCAAATCCACAAGAGCGTTTGGTCCATTTTGAAAGAATGGATGGGTTGGAAATGCAGTTCCTGTAACCCCAGGCTTTGCTCCATGCTAAAGGTTTTTGTAAGCTTCTGACAATCAGCACAGCACAAAGCCACCCTTAGAAGCAAGAAAATAAAAACACCCTTACTACAACCTAACACCAGCAGGAAAAATACTTGGTTGAAACTTTAGGTGCTAATTATACTTGCTTAAGCTAGAACAAAAAGACAAAAACATCAAAGTCTAGTAATGTGGAAACAAGGAAGGTTTAGCTCTTTAAAAAGAAAGGAAAGATAGACGTTTGAGGTAACAAACAAAAAACCCAAAATGCACAAACACATCACAGACATCTAAAAATAGCATTTTATACATTTTTGCCAGTGCTTCTCTGAGAGCAAGTTCTTTAAACAGAACTTAACAATTTTACAATTTTTTTTAAAAAAATATGTCATCCTAAAATAGCCCATCAATCCTTACCCAAACTTTCTGTATTTCTACAAAAATAGATGCACAAAGAGCTACAAAATACTGTATTCCTGAAAGGAGGCGCACTGTACTCAAGGGAGAGTCTTTTTCCTGACAATTGAGACTGTTCATAAAAATACCAAGCGGAACAAAACAAAACACTGTTAAAGGAGCAGAAAGGAGTTAGGTTGCCCAGCTGCAGCAGGCTCAGATGAGGAAAGAAAGAAAAGTTAGGTTTTTGTTTTCTTCCAACACTGTGGGACCCATAAACGGCCTTACAAACAAAAGGCTCAATAGCAAAACCAGAACGGTTGGCTCTTCATCTTCATGTGTGTCCTTTGCCCCATGCAGGAGGAGTCAACGACTTATATTGCCCGCCCAGCTGCGCTGACTCCAGCTCTAGCTGGTCTTAATTTATCTGAACTTCAGAACCAAGAAGTTTCCTTGCTCTTGTCCTGATGCTGGAGACCTACATTTCAGAACAGAAAAAAGATAATTAAGATTTGATACAGCTTTTTCCTCCCCCTCCCCAAGCAACTGAAGTAAGGATAAACAGGTTTTGAATAAAAAAAAAAAAACCCAAACAGAAAAAAACCCCACAATTTACCAGCCTAGTGGACTTGTTAATAATGTTGTTATTGCTCCCAATTTTATAGTTTATGTGGGATAAGCTTAAACCACACTTAAGTTTTAGACTGGCTCAAGCAGTTCAGGAATGCTGATAAAATCCTGCGTGTGCTTCCTTGTTTTGGCCTTATTTGGAGCATGGCATGGCGTGATAAAATCCTCCAGCAAGGTCTGCATAAATAATCCAGTACGCAACAGAATAATTCTCCTGATAGGGGCCAGCCACAGACCCTATCTCTTTTAGAAAAGGCCTGTGACACTTTAGGGTCTCACAGTTTCTATGGCATTTCATCTTAGAGAGGAGAAAGGGAAAATTTTCCTGCAGCATGTAAAAAACCCAAACAATTTCACCTACGGAGTGTCAGATTTTTAGCCAAGAATGGATAGTGCTTCCACATGGGAAAAATTAATGATTTTCAGCTTACATTTGTTATGAGTTCCTCTAACATTTTCCTTTATAAAAAGTGAGGACTATCTAATAAATGTGGTGCTATGTTGTGGCTTTAGCATTATAGACTTGGAACTCATGTTATAATCTGGGATTTCTCTGCTCCAGAGGGATTCAATCTTTGCTAGATTTACGCCCAATAGGGCGTCTACATAAAATCCAGACAATAGAGAGAGAGGTGCGGATGAAACTTCCCAAAGAAGATACATTCTTGCTCATTTATAGGGAAAGTAGAACGGAGAGAGGTGCAAGCACATATTTTAAGAGGTAGTAAGGCACTTAGGACTCACTGATTTAAAACCTGCCCCTTGACGTTTTGAGACAAGCAAATCAGGTTTAATGAAATGAAGGTGCACTTCCCACTATAAATCATCATTGCTATAAAGACAGCAATGCTCCATCCTGTGTCATACTATAAATTGCCCTGCTACACGGTGTACCAAGACCAATGCATCAACTACTTCATCTGCTAAGAATTTAGGGCCAATTTCACCACTAACCTAAGTAGGTGCAACTCCAGGTCTCAATGATGTTGCAACCATTGAAGCTCCATGTTCATTTGATCATTAACCTATGAAAATTGATAGATCCACATGCTAAGCATGGAACTGTCATTTCCATATCTGATCAGACAGTGAAACACAGAGACCCATATGTTTTCAGAAAGCCTAACAGGTACAATGGGTTTAGATCTGACCACCACCTTCTTGTTTTAGGAGTACAATCAGTTAAATCTCTAATGATCATAGAATCATAGAACAGTTTGGGTTAGAAGGGACCTTCAAAGGCCATCTAGCCCAACCCCTCTGCAATGAGCAGGGACATCTGCAACTAGATCGGGTGCTCAGAGCCCCATCCAGCCTGGCCTTGAATGTCTCCAGGGATGGAGCATCTACCACCTCTCTGGGCAACCTGTGCCAGTGTTTCACCACCCTCATCGTGAAAAATTCCTCCTTCTATCTAGCCGAAATCTCCCCTCTTTTAGTTTGAAACCATCACCCCTTGTCTTATCACAACAGGCCCTGCTGAAAAGTCTGTCCCCACCTTTCTTATAAGTCTCCCTTGAAGTACTGAAAGGCTGCAAGAAAGTCTTCCTGGAGCCTTCTCTTCTCCAGGCTGAACAACCCCAACTCTCTCTGCCTGTCCTCACAGAGAGGTGTTCCAGCCCTCTGAACATCACCCCTTATGATGATCAACATCACGTCGGAGTCAAGCGACAAAGCCACTAACAGTCACCTAAAAGACGACAGCATATTGCTCTATCTGTGTCAGGATCCCCAGGCAGCATCCAAATACTTGTGTGTCCAGCAGTGAGCAGATAGGAAGAGCAGAGCACACAGGTATAGCATACCAAACCCTGTCCAGTGGCTTTCTGCCCCTTCTCACATGCACTTGCATCTATTTCTTTAGACTGGAAAAACTGGGATATCCCTCAATTAATGCATGCCTATAAAAACATGTTTAGAGGCTCTTTACTCAATGAGGATGTCTCCTTGTTGCTTACAAGTTACTTGTTTTCCTGGCAGCATCATTCACAGGCAGGGTCATAATAAACTGCTCTTAGTTTCCTTCAAAGATCCCTCAATGGAAGTGATGACAATTTTGTGTTATTTTTCCCCTGGTGTTTATAATTTTTGTTGTAAAAAGAAGACACAAAAAAAGGGGGAGTCAGACAGCAGAAACCTTTCAGAGTGTAAAGAAGTCATTTAAGTTCACCAGTGGAGCACTAAAGGTCACCAGAGGCAATGGAAGCTGATGAGAAGCGAAACAGATTATATGGCTCCTAGCAGCTTAAAAAAAAAAAAAAGTCACACACACCTGGTTTAAGAAGATGCCCACCTGACAGCAGCAACTGGCAGAAGGGAAATGACTAGCTGAACAGACACCGTCCTAGTTAGGAGTCTTTGCAACTAACAGAAATAACTGTAACAAGGAGGTTTAAGGTATAGCTATTAAGTCTAAACAGCCATGAAAAACAATAAAAAAAAAAAAATCAAAGTTGCCTTAGTTACAGAACTGAATGTGGAACACTTTCCCTGCCTTTTCCTCGCTACATTCCCACCTCCTTCATGGCAAGGCTGTCTACAGTCCTCATCTGTCATCCGAGTGCAGCCCTGCTACCAGCCGAAAGCTTTCGTTTGCAGCCTGGTGCAAGGGCATCCTCCTCTCAGCAACGAGACCCCGCTTGCCTGGCGCGAGTCAGCACAGCCGCCCGGCCCTGGGATGCCAGCGTTACAGCTCGTCGCCACACGCAGAAAGCGGGTTCTGTGGGAACATCCAAACAAACTTACGGAGCCGTGACAAACTCGTGGGGCGCGCGCGAACGCAGACAGCTCTGCAGAAAGCAGGAGGCTGACCGCTCAAGGTCTGTATTCCACGTGACACGCTGACGTACTGACGTTTCCAAAAGTGGACTTTCCACAATTAGCCAGGACTAGAGGATGTCAATTAATTCACCTAAATTTAAATTTATGCACCTCAACGTGCATAACTTCGCACGATAAAGGACAGGCACCTAAGTTCCAAGATCGACTTACAGCCCTCAGATATGCCAAAATCCCGCTCTGCTTTTAGCGTGCTGGGGCTTACAGGAAGCCTCCTCCAGCACATCTGTCCAACAGCAGGGCAGGATATCCTCCCGGGCTCCGCAGTAGCAGGGCAAGTTGCTCTGCTCTCCTCCCCACAGGGCTGCCTGCAGACCTGGCAGCTGCCGGCACAGCCGTATCCCACTGACCACCTGAAGTGCCTGGTGCGCAGGGCAGCCTCCCGCCCTGCTCCCGGGGAAAACGCTGACGGCCGTAACCACCAGCTCCGCTGCAAGACAGCGGTTCCCCTCCCTGCCTCCCTGGTCTTAAGTGCTCAACTCGGCCTGTGCACCCTTAGGATAAACACAGGGATTTAGCCCCGACACTGTGGGATTACGGCTGCAGCGAGGCGCGCTGTGCATATGCCGTGAACCGCAGGCAATGCTGTTAGGGGCTGACCTTGCTCTGCTTGACATCGGTGGGGCAGGGAGTTGTGGTCTAAAGCACAAACATGTTGTGCTTTTATCAATGTGTTTATAGCAAGGCTTGATATAAGACGTACTTTTATATTGAGCATTATACCTTGGCACTTCAGCTCTGGAAAGACGCTGCATACCAGCAGCCACAAACACAACAGGTTTTAATTGATTTTTTATGTACACCAGCATTTTCTTTAATCCCACTTGTACCAATACAGAAGCTTCCAAAAGGGTTAATTTGCAGCACGCAACGTGAGGATTAAGCCACGTTTAAAGGGAATCAGGTAGCTAAATCCCTCTTCATCCCCTAAAACAGGACCATGTAAGTTCAAACAGATGTGCGAGACAGATCAATACTTTGTTAGCTCTATGAACGGTGATACGCTGATGTCCCACACAATCTGTTCTGAAACATAAATTCCCAAACTATACCACGCACGCAAGGGGAACTCCCTCTTAACCCCTGAAGCTATTCAGCATCATCCATTCACGAGATTCAACATTTGGCTTAGTGTGGCAGAGATGCAACAATGGAGCTGGAAGCGGGTAAAATTACAGCCAGCCTGCCCTGATCCCAACACTATCGTTCCCTATAATTCAGCGTGAGGAATTTTGCAAATGTTTCTATAATCGCATGTGACAGTAGCATCAGAAATGTGACCCACAGTAAGGGGAGGGAGGAATCATTTTCGTATCTGAAGGGCTCTGAAGAGCAATATCTAGGTCTATACCAAATGAGCTTTTTTATATAAATCATCTGAGGCTCAATGGAATCTGATATATTGACAGCTCCACAGCTTGATGTCTTTTATTCTCCAGGGAACTGTGAGCAAAGACTTCCAGAACTGAAGTTTTCTTGCCACTATGCCCTCACCCTACCCTGGAGAAACCGCTTCCATGCCGCAGAAAGCCAGTATGCTCCTCCAGGCCCTTCAGTTTTTAGCCTCTCTGTTGAGATTACTGTCTCAATTGAGAGTTAAATGTAATGAAATTCTGTGTGATGTGGAGACTTATCCGGTACAATCCCCCCCCCAGGAGTGGACCTGGAGGAAGAAAAGCTTCACCTGTGCTGGCTGAAGCACCACACAACTCAGTGTGGTGCTTCAGCAGCTCCCTCCTCTCGCCAGCAGCACAACGCTCCTCCCTGGGGACGACACCATGAGAGATGCATGCAAAAGACCGGGGCAGGTAAGCTCCCTCTTTTCACCACGAACACACTTCGAATGTCTGTCAGCAACGCATTTGTCTCAAATCTACCAGCTGCTGGCAAGGCTGGAAAGGGAGCACAGAGCCTTCCTGGTCTTCCCAGCCAAGCCTCTGCTTGGAGAGCACAGCAGAGATGAGTGTGCAGGGTAGAGTAAATAACTGTAATGTCACGGGCTACCACTACCTGTTGTGTTTCGTTGCTTGGTCCCTTGTTTCCAAAGCTTTACGTGGCTGCCTGATACGGTTTTGCTGTTGTGTTTCAGCGCATGGCCATTTTGAACAGTCACAAGCAAGTGAGACATTGCTCCGCTGAGATGCTCTGCTCCTGCAAACCAGTCACACATCATTTTCCCTCTTTCTTTTCCCCAACAGGAACTCATGGACTAAAACCCTCACATCAGGCATGGGCCAGAAATTCACAGTTCAGGCCTTCTCCACTGGCTCCCATGCTGAATAGACAACTACAAGACATGCAAGCCACTGTTAAGCACTGCCAAATCAGGATCTTGATAAAATTAGCATCCAGCTGTACCCCTCTATAGGGATTTTCACAAGGATCAGGCAGCACCAAGCAAAGGCTATACTGGTCCTGTAAGGCAGTGCTAGGACCCATAGTCCTTCTTGAGATACTCTTACAGAAAAGAGAAAAAGCACCTGATTTATTAGACATACTCCTACCAACAAAGTAGTAGCAAGCAAACCAACTTCCCCAGTGCTGAAACAACTCACAGCCTAGGCTGGACTCATACCTAAGCCAGGTAGTGGTTTTTTCTGACTAACAATCCCTTACGCAGTTCTCTTCTCCATCTCCAAAAGGTTAAGTCAAATCCCAGAGCTCTGGAGCTGTACTGCTGGGGCTACTCTCAGACCAGAGGGCTCGACCCCTCTACCGGTGGCCGTGACAGTTTGCTCATGCTTCAGAGAAAGCAGCTCACTCCCATGATGGAATCTGTCAGTAGAGCAAAACTTGAGATCCCAGTCTTGTCAGATTATCATTTTATACCAGAAAGCATAAAACATGATTCCTCTTGTATCATTGGCATGGCTGGAAATGTTATTAATAGATATAAAATTGTCCAGTGTTAAGAATCCTATTATGCTTTTTCTTAATTTCTTGAGGCAGCAAGTCACATGGTATTTCGAAGAGAATATTGGTTCCTAGTTGCTATTAAGGGAAGAGAGAGAGTTTTTTATTGGGTTAGCGCAGTTATAATTGGGTTTTGGGCTCATAGTATTTCTATGACAGCATTTTTTTTCTCCACCAATTCTTTGCTCCCCTGCACACTAATCAGAGCAAGCAAGTGCTTCTCACATGTTCAATCAGTTAGCTAGAGCTATCAAGAAGAGAGACAAACAGATACTTTAAGGAAAAGGGAACAGAGATGCAAACCTAGTATTTCCTTAACAAATAACATAATAGGTTTAAGAAGTACTAATCTGCAAGGTCTGCTGCTGGTGAGACAAAGCAGAAAAAGGAGACCTCAACAGTGCATATGAGCTCCCTGACGGATGCGCTGGAAACTCTTAGTCACCCATCACCTGACCGCAAGCAACTACGAACAGTGAGGGCTGCTCGACTGCTCCTAGCGCAGAGATGGGAGGCTGCCAGTCACAGCTCACAGATCCAGATGTACTTTACGGAGGCTGTCCTACGGCTACAGACCCTGCAGCAAAATGAATCCAATCCACAGACCTCTGCCTCGATCCTACAGAAACAAGTTTAGTTTGATGGCGAGCACAGCTCAACAGGCATCTCTGCTCTCTATGTGACACCTGGATACTACACAGGAAGGAAATGCCGATCTGTTCCAATTTAGATGAGTAAGATGCAATCCTCATGCACTGACGAGTTATTAGTTCAGTCCTCATTGGAGCTGTATTTTGGTGAATGCACAGATGAACCAGTTGAGCAAGCTGGAAGCTTCCACATGGAAGTTTAATTAACCATTTCCCAGAAGATTTAAACCAAAAAAATGCATATCATGTCACAACTCATTTGGCTTGAATGGGACCACGGCAGACAAAAGTCTCTCAGCAAAAAGCAGCGAGAGCTGGATGTTTCACAGCTCATCTGCCCTGACAGCAATTTCAGGAGCGATTCCCACCTGGAAATCTATTTGGAGAAGGCTCTGAGAACAAGCCCTGCTTCAGCTGCAGGGATTCCACCTCTTTGCTCAAATTCTTCCTCTTAAAACAAGTCACAGACACAATCAAACCATCTTACCTGCGTCAAACCCAAAACTTGGCACAATGTCCACGGTTCCATGAAAGGCTCCAGCCCATGCTGAGGTAGTGCTGGTGACAGCAGCGGGATCTGTCTTTGTCACGTCACACTGGGGAGCAGGAATCCTGGCTGCGCGGACTGAAGGCATCAGCAGGGACCCATACCGGGGGTCGCGGTGCGAGCTGGGATGGTGATGGTGCATGTGTGGATGAGGGTGATGACGATGCATGTACACGTCATGCATGTGTGCATATGAAGGGCTCACCTGAGATGCTAAAGGATAATGCCAGGAGTCAGATGCAGCAGGGGGAGGAGGTGGGGCAGTCTGATGAAGGCCATGTCCTGGCCAGCTGCTGGGATCTGGTGTTGGGAAGGTGCCTGGTGCAGTAACGGGGAAATCGGGGTGTACTCCACTTAAGCATGGTGGAGGGGGAGGCTGATAAGAGCTGGTCCAAAATGAAGTTGGGAAACTGCTCCTTTGGCTTGAAATTGTTGAGCTTTCTGTTAAAGAGGAGAGAAATGAAGCATGACTGAGGCTGAACAACAAATTTAATGACAAAAACCCCACAATGATTTTCTACTCTCTAAAATTTGTAACACTGAACTCAAGCTTCCTCAGCAATTATAGAATCACAGGACAGTTGAGGTAGGAGGGGACCTTTTGAGATCATCTAGTCCAAGCCTCCTGCTCAAGTGGGGGTCATATAGAGCAGGTTGTCCAGGACTCTGTCCAGTCATCTTTTGACTGAGATCAAAACTCCACAACCTCTCTGGGAAACCTGTTCCAGTGTTTATCCAACCTCAACAAATAAAAAATAAATTAAAAAAAACCCCACACAACAAAGGAAAAAAGAAGGAAAAAAGTGTTTTCTTGTGTTCAGATGGAATTTCCTGTTTTCTAATCCGTGCCTATTGCCTCTTGTCCTGTCAGCAAGCATTGCTAAGGAGAGCCTGGCTCCCCATCTTCATTCCCTCCCATCAGGTATTCACACAAATTGATAAAATCCCCTCAATAAGACTCTTATTCTCCAGGTTGAAGAGTCACAGCTCTCTAAGAATCTTGGTACAAGAATTATGAGGAGAGGTTAACTCTTGATCAGACCAGAGCACATCATTTAGAAAGGCAGCTGTAATGGCTGCAAAAGCTTGTGAGGACAGAGAACCAGGTCACGCTTCAGAATAGGAGACATTTGCATAAAGGAAGAATCTTCTCAAACTAACTGCATGCTTTGATGAGATAAAGTTCATATCTAATGTGCTTACACTAGTCCCTTATAGAATATATCATACTGCCCTGTAGTCACCAGGATTAGACAAGCAGAAACACCTATGTAACTAAAAGAACTTTTTGTCAGAAATAAAAGACTCGCTGCTTCCTATACTAGGGCTCAACTTATATTTAAATGGATTCCAATACCTCTACATTATGAAATCACATTCTAAAAATTCTTTTGAAGAAACAGTTAGTGTTTTTGATGTGTAGGAAAGTATTGGCATCTCCATTCTCACAATCCTCTTGCCAGCTCATGTTTGAACGTACTGCTTCATGCAATATGTCTCAGCTCAAATAGGTTTTTTTTGGTTCAAAGATGGAAACATAAAAATACAGGACTTCACCTCTGATGAAAGAACAGTCATAAAAATAGTCTATGGAGAAATAAAGCCAGGGAATTTTAATATTTGACAAGGCGAGGAATCCTTTGTTCCTCATATAACATTTACAAAAATATTTATATTATTTTTTTTAAATGACCTTTTGTTTTGCTTTGTTTAATAAGCAACTGGAATGAGACTTGGGTGAAGACACCATTGAGAATGAACAGATTCTTCAAACACTCTTGCCTCTGAACTTTGCTGACACAAAAGTATTTTGGAAACAAAAACTGCAAAAGTGTTTTCTGACTGCATCACTAGGACACTTGTGTATCTGTTTTAAAATCCATTAAAATCATAGAATTTTTTCCACACATCAATTGGCTTTGATCTAGGCAGTTTATTGAGCCTGATTAACTTCTGATATTGGAAATAAACTTTGCAAACACACTATGGACAAACATAGAGACCTTCTCATTGTGCCAAACTTCTTCAGAGGCTGCAACCTTATCTAGCAAACTGTACTCCCACATGGCTTTCTTCAAAGGGTTGCTTTTTTTTAGCAAACTATTTCTATTGTAATTCATGCTGGAAAACTGGAGAGAGCAGTCTCCAGACAGACAGAAGCATCAGCACTCCACTGAAATCTGTATTGTTCCTTGTTTGTAAATTATTCCTTGTTGCAAGGAATTAGGCTGAGATGGAGAGTACCCATGGCTTACAGTGTTGGCAGCAGGGCTGACAAAAAAAAAAAAAAAAACAAAAACAAGCTTCTTCATGTCCATTCTGTTGTTTTCCTCACTGCTTTACAGAGGAGCACAGCTTGATAATGCACTGCCAGTATTCTGGAAAATTAACCTCTGTAACCGAGAGTTTTTGGAAACTATCCGGCTGTTATCTGCATGGAAAAGCCCTAAATCCAAATCACTTCACTTCAAAAAAGCACAGAAAACCACAAAGTATCTGCAGGACAACTTTAATACCAGGAGAAAGAACTGTAAACCACTGGATTTGCCAGTATGAATTCATCCCAGGTTGCATACCAGCTTGGCTTTACCAATCGGACAGAAGGTCTAGGCAACAGAAAACATGTTTGGTCATCTCCATTTTTCAAATCTGTGCACATTTCACAAAGCCATTACCACTGTCAGACACTGCCATGGATCAGCCCCCATCAAGACACCACTGATGTAACTGTAGAGGCCAACCTCACTTGTCCGGGTCAAGTCATGTCACTGGAGATACAGGGTCCATCCAGGTTATATGAACCTGGAAGAAAACTTCATCCACCCTGAGTGTTCACAGAGGATGCTACTAAGTATTAAGTGTGCAGCAATCCCATCAACAAGAATCATCTCTGTGTTGAACCACAACCCCCGCCCACCACACATTACCATGGTGTTTGAAGAGTCTCCTTTCCTCCCCACCCTTAAAACAGTGAGCACAACCAATTATCTTTACAGATACCATCACGTCAGATACCTGGCCTCTATGGGGCATGGCAATGGAGAAACAGCCATTTCAGCACTGTCCTTGAGAAAGAAAAAAAAAAAACAATCTGAGTAGCTTCTACAGGCTTTTGGGGCGGGGGGGAATAGGCATTTAACAAAAATTGTTTGCCAAGAAAGGTACTACAGTTACCACAGTTTCCTATTCTAAGTACAGGGAGGCAGAAAGATGGCAACATCTCAGATACCACGAAGTGGTGACTAATGCAAATGTTCATGGTGGCTGGCCAACGCGCACTGAAAACATGCCAAAGTGCACACGCTGTAAAGAAGACAATGTATGGAATTTTATGTAGTACATTACTTCTCAGTTAAGGCAGGAGGAAAAAAACCCCAAAACTAAAACCCAAGAAAGAAAAAACAAAAAACCAACCACAACAACAACTTTCAGGTAGGAAAAACACATTGATAAAAATTCCATATTAGTTTCATCAGCCCCTGCAAAAGTTTTCAGGTAGCTACATCTACAATTGACTATTCAAAGTCCGTGTTACTGAAGCCTGTTTTAGAGAACCGTATTTCATAAAAAGTCAGTTTTGAAGTTAATTTTAGCCTAGATTGATCAGTATTTTCAACATACAAACGATTAAAACTTGCTCTTTTCGGGACAACAGGTTCTATTTTCTATACATAAGCAAAATCCCTCCTCGAAACAAAGAAAACCCACACTATCACCTTAACGATGAAATACAAGCAGAAAACATCAGGTAAAGGAGAAATAACAGTGAGCTGAGTAGCCAGTTCATGCCCACACACTTTCCATTTAAATCTGCACCTTCCAAAACAGCTACTGCAAACACAGAACCTTTTTTCTGTTTTTTAACTTGCCTTTGAGTAATTTATTGACAAAAAATGCTGACTACCCACGAAGGTTATTTATAAAAGATCTTCAGGCTAATGGTATTTTAACTTCTTTAGGTAATGGGATACAAATTCACATCCGTTTGCTGTAACTGAGCATCTTTGACAACTGTACTAGCAGACCAAGGTGTTGGCATCATTCTTTCCCCACTTTTTTCAAGCAGGCATGTTTCAGAAACTTATTCGGGCCTGATAAAGCTTTTGTCAGTGTCTCTTCTCTGGAGAAGCAGACACCCTCAACTTTCTCAGCGTCCACAGCACAGAACCACGCGGCCCTGCCCAGCAGCCTCCCCAGGGATTTTCATACCGCTTCAGCAGGTGCGGTGACAGCGGAGGACATATCCCCTTACTTTATTCCCGGAAGACTTTCAGGACACGCAGACCTCCGCTCCCCGCCAACGGCACAGGGCATGCCGGGTCAGCAGGCAGCGTGGCTAAAGAAGCCTTATGCCGGGCCACCCTGTCCCCCGCAGACCCGACTGGGGAAGGCTGTGCAACTATGGGGTGAGCCAGGGAAAAACAGCAGGACACGTCTGAGGCCAAAGAAAAGACACACAACCCCACCCATGGTATGTCTCCAAGCTCATGAAGAAGGCTTGCTGTAGGCATGGGGTCTCTGGGGACTGCCTTGATCCCATCTCTAAACATTTATAGCCTGTCTGGGCCATTTATAAATGCTCCAGTCTCCTTTTTAGTAAGCATAGGTTCAATCCTGCTCTCAGTCGAGTCGACGGAAAATTTCCCATTAACATTAATGGTCCCGGCTCAAGCCATAAATTCCTTTAGCTCCCTAGCCACTTCTGCTGACCTTTGCTTAAACTTCCTCGGATTTGTCATCATCCTTCTGGAAAGCAAGTCCTTCTGTGCTATTTTTCTCTTCACAGTGGTTTCCAAAAATCCCATCTCTCTTTATTATCTGTGACTTTCATCAGTACACTCTCATCTCAACATCGCTGGTGATGAACTCCACCACTCCTACAAGGATCCTCACGGTATCTCGCTCACTCAACCCAATGCAAGGCTGATACTCACAATAGGTGGTTCATGTCCCTTTGCCAGCCCACACATGGACATGATCAGAAATAATGCCCCTGTGGATCTGAAGAATTACCGCCACATTCAACAGAACGGGAACAGCATCTTACCAGCATGCTTTCTCCAGTCACCAGTTTTGAAATCTTATCTGTAAGGTCTGTCTAGTTTCTCTGGCAAGATAAACTCTTTGTCACGTTGATCATGCTTATATGCATGACAAGACATAATTGTTAAGGCAGTGTGCCAACACCTGGCAGTACCTACCGTGTTTCTACTCCCTGCTTGGAAGCAGAGTAACGTCACCCCCATTGAACACAGGACAAGCCAGTAACGACAGCCACATCTCTCCCACGAGCTCTGCCCGTGGGCAGGCTGCACTGCGCCGCACCACACAGCTGCAGCCACGTAGGCCAGGGCTTGCACCCGAGCTTACTCCAGCCTGTGCTGGCCCCTCCCGTCCTGGAAAGCAGCCATAGATGAATCTTAATCACCTGGCAAAGTCACCCAAGAAGGCTGCATGGGTCTCCTCACGTCCAAGGCCAGCATCCCAAACAGCTTTGCTCTTGCCTCATGGGCCAAGTTTCACACCTGGAGCTTAAAAATGAGCCTCCAACCTTGCAGCAGACGTTTGTGAAGCCACACGAGCTCTGCCCCGCTCCTTCCAGGCCCCGGCAGAGCTGCGGGCTATGGCAAGCAAGGGAGATGCCTGCTTCTTCCACGCCTTTGGCACCGCTTTCCCCCTGTAACACTTCGGATCACTCAACCCCAAGAAGCTCCTCGGTTCTTTCACATTTGGGGGGGGAATTTTCCACCTCCACTGAGGAGCAAAGTTTCAGCTGCCATGCAATATGCGTTACCACACCACAGAGAGCAAGTTACTGCTCCTCTTACCTCTCCACAGAGGACTTAGCCCTGCCTTGCTCTTGGTAAGGGCAGTTTCTGGATTGAAGCTACTGGCTTGGCTCAAAGCTCTTGAGAAGTGTTCATCCACTACTGAACCAATGTCTCCCTGGAAGTAAGTGAAAAGGACGCAGCGAGAGTTAAGGTACTCCATCTCAGCAGGCTGGTCTTTCTCATCCTCCTCTTGCTTGCTGGGAAGGGTCGCTTCCAGAGACTCCTGCATCTTGTTGTATACAGCTAACTTCTTCTGGGATTAAAAACAAAACAAACAAGAGATGTATCACTGATGGCATTCAGTGCAAGCTCAACATCTGGTTTCCTTAAAGAAAAAATAACTGAATACATTGAATATTCATTTCATAATTACAGTTGGGATACAGGGATATTTCGCACCGACATTTCACAACGAAGAGGTTACCAGCGCCACTTAGAGTTTTTATTCCTCGCACACAGGTGGACCTGCTTCTCTGGCAAGTTTCACAACCACAATTTATCGGCAACGGCTTTCACTCAATACCTTCAAAAGAAAACAGACAGGCTCTAACAATTCACTCCCGACTCCCACCTGGAAAGGATATTCCCATCAGCAAAGGCTACGGAGGTCGAGTCCAGCCCTGCGGAAGGGTGGCCAGATACACGACGTCTGCATTTCACGCCTCTAGCTGAACATGCACCAGGTTTTGCCAGCCGCACTCCCTCAGTCCAGAGTACATGGCCCTCTGGACTCCCCACATCCCATTGCTGAAGGCATACAGATGGGAGAATTAAGTGCTCCCTGAATTTGCCACCATATTATCAAAGTTCACAAAACATATGAATCCTCACTCACTGACAGAAAATTTTTGTCGCAGGAAGCTATACCTTAGGGTGGTGATTGGGGTTTGGGGGGCAGGGGGGTTTGAGGGGTTTTTTTGTTGTTTGGTTGGCTTGGGGTGTTTTGTTGTTGTTGTTTTGGGGTTGGGGTGTTATGGGTTTTGTTTTTTTTTTTTCCCATTTTCCTTTTTTATTTTTTAAACTCCAGCTTCTGGAAAAAGGGACGAAAATTCAAGTCATAAAAAATTAAACATGTGATCTGGGGGAAGAGAGGGATTGACAAGTCTGCAAACACATGCAAAAAAATCCACCCCAAACCAAAAACACAGAGAAGCATATAAAAAAAACCCCAAAACCCAACCCTGCACAAGCCATCTGTGAATGGCTATTTCAGAATTTTCTCTCTCTCTCTCTCACTCAAATCAAACCTAAATGTCAAAATAAATGTGTGTGAAGATCCATTTTGCATGGAACATATTTTTCAGATGTTCCACTTTACAACTGTTTTCACAGAAAAAAATCTCCCAACAACAGTCAAGCTGCAGGAATCATAGCTTTTAGCTAGCTAGCCATTTCCACAACTGACTTTACACACAAGTAGCTTCAGGAACCCAAAAACAACTACAGCACATATGTAAAAGTATTTCATAGCTTTTCTATAGAATTACAGTTTGACTTATCTTTTATGGTTTGCTTGGCAACACTTTAGCGCCATCAGAATCCCTTTAAGTTTACAGCTTTCTTCCCTTTTTCCAAAGTTGTTCTATAGAAAACAACTCCACAGCCTATAAAGTTCCATGTATACAATAAATACACTTGTCCCATTTAGAAATAATTGAAAGTCATTTTCCGATAGTGTATACCATCAATACATTTACATCAGGTGCTTTCGAAATTTGTATAAGCCTATACAGATTCTCTCATTATAATACAAAATAGATACTCTGCGGCTAAGTCTTAATTATGAATGGTTATTTAAAAAAATAACTGTAAGAAAGAGCAACTGACAAGTGGAATTAAAATCTATAATACTAAAAGCTCATAGCAACTACGTGATGTATCTGGCACTACAGTAGGTTAACCGATAAACATAAAACAGCACAGTAATCCCTTTAATTCCAATGATGTTGCACAAACTGCAATGAGGGATGCAAGTAATTTTATTTTACAGTTTGCGATATCCAGTGGTCTAGAATTCAAGTAAATCTGTGCTTCACAAAGCACATTATACTGTTGCTCCGCTTAGCACAATATTATTTAATTTAGACTTACAGTTTTATCCCAAGATCCTATAATACATAAAGAAAAACTGTGGGATTCACTTTCAAAAAAAAAAAAAAAAAAAAAAAGAAAAGAACCAAAGATGGAAACAGCAAATTAAAACAGTTTTACTAGAAACTAAAATTGCTAAAACAAAACATATTCTGAGGGTCAGAAACATATTTTTGCCAACGCAAAATTTGGGGTGACCTATACTTTTTTCGTGCTTTGTGCATTCTATAAGCAAACAAATAAGCAAAAACCCTCCTAATATTTGTCCCTGAAGTGCTTACTAAGCCATCACTCATAGTGAACTTCATGGTTTTGCCTAAGTAGTCATAGAACAATGAGACCTCAGTAAGACAGAAATGGTTATACCAATATTGCATATACAGGAGACATAGGCATTAGAAATCTGCAACACATCTACCTCAGTGACTTGATCATTCTTAAAGGTGCACCATAACCCAGATCCTCTTAAAAATGCAAGACAAGTGGTTGGGAAGGGTGGGTTTTGCATTTTTGTTTTTTCTTTTTTAAGCAGAGACAAAGTATGAAAGAATCCTTTATAGACATCTAAATAGATACTGATCTATTACAATGTCTTGGGCGCAGTGTATATACCAGACCTTGAACACACGCAACACACTTCAAAAGTTGACTTCTATCATTATAGGTACACTATTTGTATTTATACTGCAAGTATGCAAATACATATACAAGCACGCAATTATATACAGAAACACATCATTTAATATAGCCCCTGGCTTGACTTGGTTATCAGGAAGGAAGTCTTTCAATGTTCCTATATAGCGACTGGAGCTCAGGAAATTAAAACTTATCTCCAGAGTCGCTTCTCTCTGCAGGAATGTTCCCCCTTCCACAGCCTAAGAATCTAATTCATTTTCCATTTCAACTCTCTTCCCTCCCATCCAGCCCATGGGCAGCCATTACAAGATATTATGAGCACTTGCTGCTTTTGAAAACACCAGTCTGACCTTCTTTTTTTTTATTTAAATGTAAAAAAAGATGGCAGTACTGATGGACAAGTACAAGGCCTTGTGTAAAGACTGAAGTTATTCAGAGTTAAAAGTTGTGTTTTGTGGCAAGTTTTTTGCAAAGGAAGAGAGTTCTAAATTGAAAGATTTTTCAAAACAGCATCAAGCCTGTGATCAGACACAGATCTAATTAATTTGTATTTTAGGAAGAAATTATCAGCCTGTAATTACAGAACTCTTTAAACAAGAGACAACAGTGAGCTAAGGTGACTCAACAAGTTTTCCTTGTATGCAATGTACATACATCCTTTCCATTGTATATATCCCTTAATAATGTTTTTTCTCCCCCCAACTCCCTTAAAATTCCCTGTCTGCACACAAATTCCATATTATTTTTTCTGATCTTAACAGTAACCTTCTCATAGCATTTCTGAGTGCACTTGTGTGAGTGGAAAAGTATGCAAGATCATCAACCGATAAATGAATTTGTCCCAGCATCATGGGGTGGTGGGGAACAAAAAAACCCAACCAAACAAACCCAAAAAAAGAAACAAACAGGTTAAGTTTCTGATAATTAATCTGGGCTATCCCAGTTTTACTTGTACTTTTTTCATACAAACAGTTCTGGCATATATTTAAGTAGCCAACAGTATCTGTAATATCTTTATGAAGTATATTTTCTGACCAAACACAATGTTATTTCTTGCCTATATTCAGATTGCCAATACTTTAATATATTCATGAAATCCACCTCTCTCTCCCTTACAAACTAGAGACTGACATTAAGCAGCCTCTGAAAAACAAAACAAAATAAACACACAAAATCTCATCTTGGCCAAGACCCAGAATACAGAATTAGAAGTCAGCTTAGTGTACTGGGGAATAGGGAAATTCAGTGTCTATAGCACCTGATACGAGCTTAGATGATAGACCCCAGTTTGTGACTGAAGAACGAGAGGTACAGCCTCTGGGTAAACAGTGCTGCACAGCATGGGCTGAATCCAGCTTCAACAAACATTATTTTAGTTATTTCATATATTCACAAACAGGGTCTTCCAAAGAGAATTTAAACTTTTAACTGAAAGTTATCTAACAACGGGAAACTAAAGGTCAATAGCAATCACCGCTAATATAGGAATATTAAAGAGAAGGTTTATGCTGGATAAGCATCATCCTGTCTTTAGACCAAGAAAGCATGTGGTCCAAAACCTCACACAAAACCCCTGTCTTGAAGATTCCTGTTATTTTCTGACATACCCTGTCCAGAACCAAGCAAAACGGTTCTCATGCAGTGAAATTCTGGCCACATTAAAGCCAATGGCAAAAGTCCAACTAACTTCAAGGGTCCCGGGTCTCACCCAGGGTGTCTGGTAAAAATGTCGGAACATTCCTCTTCGCAAATTGAAAAAAAAATTCACTTCCAGCTGAACCCAGCTAGTAGGCAGCAAAACAGAAAAACAACCAAGCACAGTTGAGAACAGAGAAAGTTTTAGCTTAGCCAAGTTTGAATCAAAAATTCAGGCCAGCTCTTATTTTTCATGTAAGCTGGTTGCCTATTCCTACAACTTATTATCTCCATACATGCCATCAAACAGCATATGGTCCTTTATGCTCCCAAGCATGAAAGTCTGGTGTGGCTGCGGCCACCTGTTACAGATTTTCCATTATGAGAGAAAGAACAGGAACCAAAAATAAAGAATAACTACACTGAGGAAACACTATATGACCCTATCCTGAGAAAAAGGCTGTCATTTGACATAAGCTTCTGAGAAGGAATTTCAGCAACAAACTCAAGGCAAATCACGGACAGTCCTCCATTTGTGGAGCTGTCTGCCAAGCAGGCTCCTATTGATAACACAGAAAGTATTCAAGGAAGAAGACAATTTCAAGCAATCAAGAGCATGGAATGCTGGGCCTAAAAGCGGTATTTACAGCATGCCCCGAGAACATGAAATGCTAACTTCTGCCCTTGCAAATGAGCAAGCCAGGAGCAAAGCCACACGCTTGCTTTCAGGTGAGCCACTGGCTTTGCAGCAGTAGAGCCTGGAGCTCCTGCTACGCGCTGCTGATGGAGGGAAGCGGTGGGAAAAGAACGACTTTATACATCTTTTGCTGTACATCCAAACAGACGTGTACTGTCACAGTCTAAAGCTCTATTTTTATAGAGAGGAAGATC